AGGGATAGTAAACCTTAAATTATAAGTTATATTTATGTATCTTAATGAAGGAATATCACACAATTAATCTTTTCTTTGCCAAGTTCTTAATTTTTAGCTTTTTATTTTGTGTAATTTTAAACTTTTGGGAGTATTTTGTCTAATTTTTAAAACTTTTTACTTTTTTTAATACTTCATGTAATAAACTGATACTACGGAGCTGTTTCATATATTTTATTAATCTTATTTAAATTGTTGAGCTATAGATAATTCATGGGGTATTACGATAGGATATAAGTATGGTTATGAAAGATTATAATTTAAATTAAATATTTAAAATATTACAAGGTAATTCTGACTATGGAAAGCTTTTTCCGAACTCGTGTTTTTAAAGGGAGTATGATTTTTGTTTTCCTTAATTTTTTTAATAATTTTGAGAATGACATTTGTCTCTTTAATTTGTTTGGTGGATTTTGTAAATATCCCATCCACATTATGTATATTTGTAGATCTACGTTGTTCCTAGGTTCAACCTTTGGGGTAGACATTATTTGTTTTTAGCATATATGTCCTTCATTTTGTAGACATTTACAAATTTGGCATTTAATAATTTTATTTAGTTTTACATTTCAATTTAAACTGTATCCTTATCTTCATACTATGTATATCCAATAAGAATTCATCAATTTATTAACTTACTCTTACTTAATGGAATATATATATATATATATATATATACACACGCACGCACACACACTTTAATTTACAGTACACACGAGTAAATATTAATTTAGTTATAGTGATTTTAAAAAGTATAAAAATGTCCTCTTTTTGTACAAATGAAGAAGAAGACACGTGAAAGTGTTGTAATTTTTAGATCTCGCAAAAACCCTAAAAACCATCGAAAGCAACAAATTGAATCGCATACGATTTAACGTGGAACACTCTCAACAGGGAAAAACCAAAGGATCGAAAATAATCCACTATCACTTCTAAATTATAATCTTTTGTACGGACAAAGACTGCCAAACCATCTCTCTCTCTCTCTCTCTCTCTCTCTCTCTCAATACCCTTTAACCCGGTTACACCCTCTGTTAAACCCTGATTACAAGAATATATTGTCTCTCTCCCTCTTTCTACATCAAAACCCTATAGTAGGAGGCCTTATTTAAAGACAACCCTGACTTGTCCACCAAGTTAATTTCGCCTCTAAGAAAATTACTAGGATCGTGCCTAGCCTTTAAACCCGCATCTGACTTGGAGTTTGAGTCGGTACCCAACGTATCCTCACTCGACGAAAAGTCTCTAAGCGTCTCAACAGGTTTAGAAAAACTCACTCTCTTCTTCTTTTTCTTCACCTCTCCCTTGTAGACAAGAGTCTGAGAAGAGTCATCTATACCATTAACATATCGCCCATCAAAATAACAAATATGATTGCTATTCTTTCTCCCTCGCAAAATCAAATCACCATCTCTATACACTTTGCACCACTCTCCTTCACTAACAAATTGTACCCACACGATGCCATCTCACCCAACGAAATTAAATTAACACCATATGACGACACATATCTCACATGATGAAGAATTCCAACCTTCCCAGTGTAAAGCTTGAGGCGAACACTTCTAATGCCTTCAACCTTCATCTCGTCCTTCGTTCCCTCACCAGAGAGGCCTCGTTCTGTAATTGCTATAAGCTGTAGAAGGATTTGGGAATAAGCTGGAAGTCCATTAGTATGTATGAGTTGAAGTGAAGGGCGCAAGTAAGTAATAATAAGTAGAGCGGAACACTGTTGGCTGAACAAAAGACGTATGACTTGAGAAAGTAAGATCTCCGATCTGTTGTCGGAAAAAGGAGCTCCAATGGTACTTTAGAATAAGAATAATAGGTACTTTTAGCCAAATCCAGGCTTTTAAGTTTGTAGCTAGTCCTCTCTAGCTTCCAGCTATTCTTCCTTCTCTTATGGGACTTGAAGCCAAGTAAAGGCAGCTTGCTGTTGAGTTATAGTCTTTAAGATATGGGACTTAGGCGGGTTAAAGCGGCTGAAAGGCAGAAAAGCGACGAAAAGCATTCAAAGGGAATCTTATTGCTTTTAATGATCACGTCATCAAATTCTTCATCTGTCTTCAATGTGTCAAAATAATTTTTGTTATTGCAAATGTGCATAGAGGCTGCTGAATCTAACACCCAAGTGTTACTTGTATCAGTACATGTACTCTGCACCAACAACACCACATCTTTATCATATACAACTACCGAGGAGTCCACATTCTTCCTATTTTCTTAAAGCTTCATCTATCTATACTCTTCAAATCATCTCGCATCTGGAAACATTTGAACTGAATGTAACCATTCTCTCCGCAATAATATCACTCCCTTTCGCTGTCGTCTCGGGCCTAAGATTTTGACATTCCTCGATAATTATCACATATCTCCTTACTCCTCCCTCGATTGGAACTTTCAAAGCTAGTGCACTCTCATCACAATTAGATGCACTCTCATTCCCTTGGAACTTTCAAAGCTAATGCATTCTCACCACAATTAGATGCACTCTCATTCCCCATCATTCTTTCATTCTCACATAGGAGTGGTGTCACATCATCGAACTTTAAAGTCTGCTTCTCTACGATTATTGTCTGAACTAACAGCTTGTACGACTTTGACAAAGAAGACAATAGGAGTAGCGTCTGCTCTTTTTCTTTAATCTCCTCATAAATATTCATAAGCTAACAAACTAGCTGATTAAAGGCATTGATGCGGTCTTAAATTGCAGTACCTTCTTCCATCTTTAATGAATAAGGCTCTATCCTCAAACACAATCTGTTGGTCATCGACTTCGACGTATAAATCTCCTCAAGCCTTTCTCACAGCCCCCTTGGTGTAGTCTCTTGCATAACATTATACTTGATCTCAGGGGCAAGTGCGAAACTAGCTAATTGTGTTAACCGCCCTCTTTTGCATGGAACCACATTTAGCGTCCTTCATCCCTTTAAGTTTCTTCTCCTCCAAAGCTTGATCAACACCCCGCTACACAAAAATATCTTGAACCGTACACTGTCATGCTACAAAATTTATCTTGTTATTGAATGGCGAAATATCAAACTTTAGACCCGAACATGTCATCATCCTCTAACCATAAAAATTCAAATCAACCACTATAGAGATTGAATTTGATAGAACCGATGTCAAAAATGAACTCAACACGTCAAAAAATCCTAAGAATGACTCCTGGATCTCCAAAATCCACATCTAAACCCTCAATCAGAAGACAAATCAATCTGCACCGTCGGATTTGATTTAATAATATTTAAACAAACCCTCACCCGTGTGAACAGTGTTCACACCGCTACAATGTTCTTTTTTTTCCTCGTTCGCTCGATGTCGATCACCGCGCTTCGACTACTAACGTCTTCACCAATCACACACCGCTCGTACCTCCATGAATCGTCGAACCCTGTTCTGATACCACTTGTTGTGATTTTTAGGTCTCGCTAAAACCTTGAAAACCACCAAATGCAGCAAATAGAATCACATGAGATTAAACGTGGAAAACCCTCAATAGGGAAAACCATGCGGTCGAAAACAATCCACTATCACCTCCAAATTACAAATATTTTGCACGGATAAAGACTGCCAAACTCTCTCTCTCTCTCACAATACCTTTGAACTCGGTTACACCCTATGTTAAACCCTGATTACAATAGTATCTTCTCTCTCTCCCTCCCTGCATCAAAACTCTAGAATATGAGGCCTTATTTAAAGACGCTCATGACTAGTCCACCAAGTTAACTTGGCATCTAAGAAAACTACTAGAACTGTACCTAGCCTTCAAAACCGCATCCGGCTTGGAGTTAGACTCAGTACCCAACAGAAAGACTAGGTAAGTCAGGATGAACCTGAATTGAGCCTAATTGACTTCACTAAGATGCATAGGTTCAGTTGAGTTATCGATCAATCTTAATGAGATTGAATGCAAGATTGTATTCATTTTTTTAAAAACTTTTAATTCAATTCCATCCTATAATCAATACTGTTAAGTTGAACCCAAGACATACTCCTTTCCGAGTATTAGTTCAAGCGACTTAATTTTTGACGTAAGAAAAAGTGGAACAACACGAATTAATCATGTTTTCAGACAAATTTCTTTCCAAAAATTAGACCGCGTTCAAACTTGGTTCCATTTTGGAAGGATGTCAAAGTACACACAAAGGTAGCTTCCGCGTCATAGAACCAAAGTGATGCTTACAGCCTCCGTGTTATGAGAGCATATATCAAAACAAATGTATTTTTTGTTTCTTTTTGGGGAATTCAACCCGTATTTAAAAAAGTGATAATACAAAAAACAAATAAATTGTTGGGCTTAAAATTGGATTTTGGAATCTGATAAATTCCTAACTCTTCTACAGTTAAAAACAAGGGGAAATTATTTAAAAAAAAGTTACCTCATATTTCTTACGGAAATATCAGAAATCCCTTAGAACTTTTTCAACTAACATCCCCTCACTTTTAACATGGATACCCAACGCTGGCTTATTTGCCTTTAATTACTCAAAATCCTGTTACAAGATTTTAAACTTTGATCCCCGCACAAAATATACACTTAACTTAAAAATTGTTCTAAAAAGGAATTTAAAAACTTTAACTTTGGTGCCGTCGATATTTTACGTCAAAAATCTTCAAAGTATCGAAGTTGAAAATGGTGAAAAAACAACAGTTATATACTGCTTAAACACTTGCATACGGCAACTATATGATGACCAAAAAAATTGAATAATTATCTGTCAAAGGAGCAAAAAAGCCTCTAACTTTTAGAAACAGCTGCAAGATGCATCATTCGCTTGCTACCTGCTGCCAGTGCGAGACGTACATCTGATGGGTATCAAAAGGGAACGAAAACCGAGAAAATCCCACAACATGCCCCAACGCACAGGCACATACAGGATCAGGAGAGAGAGAACGTAGGGGGGAAAAAAAAGAAGAAGAGAGAGAGAGAGAGAGACAAGCTCCCTCTCTCCCTCTCTCTCTCTCATTAGTTATTTATTAATATTAATGCACATAATTGTTGGCTCGTTGCTACTTTCTATAAAAACCAACAGCACGCAAGTCCAAAGCCCATCACAATAAGCCCAGCTTCTGCCGGTTCAAGCCCCCCCACTACCAAATCCACCGCCTTCTTCTCTCACTCACTCACTCAAAAGGAAGCAAAACATTAAAAAAAATTGAACTTTGGAGTTTGAACTCAGATTTTTCTTCTATCATCATCATCGCCATTATTTTTCTTGGTTTCTGGGTTCTTATCTCCTATCTCTGTTTACTATTATGGATCGTCAGATGAGCACTTGGCTCGGGTTCTCTCTCTCCTCAGCTCCTGCTCTCTCTAACCAAAACCAAGACGAGACCTTTAGCAATCATCAAAGCAGCAACAACAATGAAAACTCTAGCAATCCTCCTCTTACTGTTATGCCTCTGAATTCTGATGGCTCAATTTGCTTCTTGGATCCCAACTTCAGGCCTCACAACCATCACGTTGATGCTGATACTTCAGGTATAAATATATTTGAAATCAATCAGTGTTCTTCTTACTTTGATATTTAGTTTAATGGGTTTCCTTAAATATTTGATTTTGTCTTGATAGCAACTGTAAACAATTAAAGTTCTACTAATATATTAATGTTCCACTTGTGTCCCTTGAATAGTGCCTTTTTAAAGCCATTTTCAGATCCTAGTGCCCTTTATTAACTTGGGTATTTGGCCTTTGGTTACTTTCTGTAGGGATCTGGTCCTTTTCCTCTTTAATTTACTATGTCTCCTCACGTTTGGATTATAATGAAACACAAGCTACACATGTTAATAAAGGCTTATAATGCCATAAAAGTATTGTATTAGAATATAAAAAAAATATAATCATCAATTCTCACTACTACTTATCACTACAACTTGGGAGTTAGTGCTGTTATGGTGAGAGCACTGCAACTTGGGAGTTGTGCTGTTATGGTGAGAGATTTTAAGATGATACAAGAACAATCAAGTTTGAAAAAACTACTGATCACAAATTTAAAGCGAATTTAAAAAGATCGATATCGCAAGATGAGTTCAGATTTTTTAGCCTATAAAAAGTTCCTTAAAATAATATAATCTCAACTTTCATCAAAGCTTACTTGTTGAATGGGTTAGAGGGACTTAAAATATTAACTGTTTGTGTTTCTCGGTTACTTGTCTCTAGGTGTAGATATTTTTAAAACTAATATTATGTTATCATTGTAAGGGGTTTTTCTTTACAATCTTATAAATTTTGTTCTTAATAATTGCAACTGTAAATAAAGTTCCATTAATTTGATTCATTAATGTTTTATTTATATACCTTGAATAGTGCCTTTTTTGGCTAGTTCTGAGATCCTATGTCACTTCATTCTCCTTTATTTTAACTTGGGTCTTTGGCTTTACTTTCCATTTGGAGTTTCAATTGGGATTTGGTCCTTTTTTTATGTTTTTAATATGTCAGTGTCTTGTTATTCTCCATAGTTCATTTCATTAATTAGAGTAGAATGAAACAAGTTGTACATGTTAATCAAGGATTATATATTAGCTTTATTAGATTGTTTGAATGTTTGGGGTTTGAGCTTATTTGTTTCTAGGTAATGACTCTAGGCTAAAAGCTCAAGCAACATACTTGAACTGGGTACTTCCCAACTCTCAAGATCTTATCCAATGTATTCATAGATTTTTGTACTTGTGTCAGCTATTTTGTTGCTAGTACTGTACTCATTCTTAATGTACTTAAATAGTTTCGCTCAGCGTGTATCTAATCTACTGGTTGGAGAATCTTTCTTTACTCCAACTCTTTAAAGATTCCAATTCATTGAAGATGAGATAGTAGATGTATTTGTGTGTTCCTACCTACCAATTAATAGCACTTTACCAACATTAAACTTAAGTGACCCATATTTTAAATCCGAGTTTGAAGTATTTAAGTGTTGCAGATGAATGCTCTATAGTTAAAAAAAATCAGACGTGAATTTTTCTTCACGTATCCAAGAATATCACATAACAGGGGTACTAAAGTGAAAATTTTTAGAAAATTTAAGATATTTAATTGAGGCAATTAACAAACTGAGCGTATCTACATGCAACATGGGATCAATAAGAGAGCACAAAAGTGCAATATTGAATTACTAAGAGGGCACCAACTTGCATATTGGGGGCATTTATTTGCAACACTTAAATACTTTTGGGCATTTAAATGCATGGTTTTTTAAAATAGAGGACATTAAAGTGCAAGATTGGTGAAACTATAGGGTATTTAAGTGTAATTTAGCATAGTTATAATTCAAATCTCAAGGAAAAGTGTAAATATCAGAAAACCCCCTTAACTTTGGACGATTAACAAAAAACCCCTTAACTTTCAAAATATTAGAAACCCCCTTAAGTATAGGGATTATCATAACCGCCCCCTAAAAAAAAAACTTTCAGATTCTATTAGAAAACCTCCTTTAACTTTGAGATTTTATTAGGAAACCCCTAAACTTAAGGGTTTTATTTATTTTGAAAGAGGGGGGGGGGGGGGGCCAAAGTCAAGGGTGTTTTTATCATATTTAGCCAAAAAAAGCAGCTGATGAAACTAATTAACACATTGTCGTTTATAGATTGGAGGTATGGAGGTAGCAATGAGGAGACCAGAGGACCAAAGCTTGAGGATTTCTTGGGTGGGTACTCTGATAACACAAATGAAGATAACCAAATTCAAAGCCCACGCCCTTTATCACCCATCAACGAGTTCTATTACCAAAACCCTAACCCTACTGAGATCAATGTCAATATCCCTCCTTGCTTTAGCCCATCAGAGGGTAGGGACCCACAAGATAGCAACATCCACAACCCATACCACTTCCTTAACTCCTATCAATACCCTCAACTCCAAATGCCTAACCACAATCATAACCCTATAGATAGTTGTCAAACATCATTATCGGGTCTGAAATCTTGGCTCCGTCAAAACCCGTACCCGTCTGCACCCGATAAGCCTAGTCATGAGTCCAATGTGCAGGCATTGACCTTATCAATGAGCCCTGGCTTGATTGCTGAATCTAGCCAAATTTTGGTGGCTGAGCCGCTACAGGTGGCTGTTGATAACAGGAAAAGGCCGGCAGCTAAGGCAGGAAATAGAGATTCCGGCCCTCGGAAGTCCATTGAGACATTTGGACAGAGAACTTCTCAGTACAGGGGAGTTACTAGGTAATTTGACAAAATAATTGGATTTTGTGCTATTTATGTTATGAATATTGTTTATTTGTTTTTAGAGAAGTTGTTGATGTTTATGATTTGAGTTTGTGAAGGCATAGGTGGACTGGGAGGTATGAAGCTCATTTATGGGATAATAGCTGTAGAAAGGAAGGTCAGACTAGAAAGGGCAGACAAGGTATTTGGCTAGTTGATTAAATTTCTATACTTCTGGTACAATAGTATTTCATATTTATACTTTGGGTTTTGTCATATTAGACCTCCAAATCTTTAATAATTTATATATTTGACCATTTCATATTTCCAAAATTTGACCCCCAAGATCCTCATATTTATTTGAAATGGGGCCTGATTTAAATCTACTTAATAAATTAGGATGTCTTATTTAAACCAACTTAATAGATTTGGGGTCTTGTTTAAAACAACTCAATGGATTTGGCGGTCTAGTTTAGAAATATGAAGAATTTGTGGTTTAGTGCAGAAGGATGTGGGGATTTAATATGACACAAACCCTGATAATTTGACAATCCTGTGAATTTAAATGTCATGAGAGATGCATTTTGGTTGAGCAAGGTTTTAGAAAGTATATAAAGATTCTGTGCCAAAAGTGAGAACAACTTTTAAACTGCGCAAAGTGTTAAATCTGATGTTTGCCAGAAGTGTAAGCTTCCAATTTTTCCGTAACGTTCTCATTTTATTTGAAAACTTTGAACTAACGCTGTATTTTTTCACTCGGGTGGTCAACTGTTTGCCCCTGCGACATTTTGGCAGTGTATTTAGGTAAGAGAAAAATACTTCTCAAGGTTTAGTCATAAACTTGCTAGATCTGAATACTAATTTGGTTCTTGGTTATATTTATACACTTTATTGCATCAAGGGGGTTATGATAAGGAGGATAAGGCAGCAAGAGCATATGATTTAGCTGCACTTAAGTATTGGGGTCCAACAACTCACATCAACTTCCCTGTATGCTTTTCCCCCTCTAGCATCCTTTTTCTTGTCTTCTTATCTTACCCTTTGTCCCATTTATTTCGGGGTTAGTTTTCATTTAATAACTTCTTTTTCTCATAATGTTCAGTTGAGTACATATGAGAAAGAGCTGGAGGAGATGAAGAACATGACAAGACAAGAATTTGTTGCACATTTGAGGAGGTTTGTTGAGTGATTAATTCCAGCTAGTATCATTAATTTGTTTAAAATTCAAGAAACTTTGAAAATTGCAGAATTTTAAAGATATATTTGTTTCTTTTTTTTAAGGAAAAGCAGTGGATTTTCTAGAGGAGCATCTATGTACAGAGGGGTCACAAGGTTCTGTCATGGACAACTTTATCATTGGAACCCTATACCTTTTTATTTACTACTTAGCAGCTTTCTATCATATCACCATTCTCCAACCTCTGCCCATGCTCTCTCTCTCCCTCTCTCTCTCTCTCTCACGAAAAGTATGCTTACCATAATTTGTTGCAGGCACCATCAGCATGGGAGATGGCAAGCTAGAATAGGGAGGGTGGCAGGGAACAAGGACTTGTATCTTGGAACATTCAGTAAGTACTTCAATACATCCCTGCAATTATGTGTCCATGTCTATTTAGAAACTAAACTAACATAGAAAATTAAATTTAGAGCTGTGTTTTTGCTTTAGCTCCTGTTTGACAGCTTGAGGTAACCCCGCTGAGGGGGACAATAACGGACTAGGGGATTAATCCAGAGCTGAAATGGATTAGGCTGGTTCTTAAATAGTCCTCAAGTTGCCAAGCTTACCCTTTGTCAAAATTCTAGATGCACCAAATATTTACAGTGCTACATTGCTAACGTACATTAATGTTGGGTGTAGTCCTGCGTTTCTGATAGCCAGGAGTATCCATTAAAAAGTCGATACAGTCCAGATCATGTTATCTGCTCTTGTTTAAATTTCATCATTCGCGGTAATGTATTTTTCTTTAGCTCAATCCGAATATTGTGATAATTGTTCTCATAAACAGGTATTAACTGTAGAATATTGATAGTGTTTATGTCGGACTTAATCAGAATTACTTGAACATATATTAGGCGGATCCAAGATCTTGTCCCAGTACTAGTGTCCTACATAATTCTAGTGGTGTTATAAGTTACAAATACAAGTAAAAAATAAATAAGAATTGCTATAAAGCATTAAACAACCTGAAGAGTGGATCGCGTAAGTCCCCTCGTCTGTGTCAGAGTTCTTTGGTGATTTGTTGCTATTCTATACCTTACACAAGCAGAAACAAACTCTCTTTATACGTCCCTATCACACCCTCTATCCAACATCATATTCTGATGAAAAACCTGTCGATCGTATCCAGGCACTCAGGAGGAAGCTGCAGAGGCCTACGACATCGCCGCCATAAAATTCCGCGGAGTAAATGCGGTAACGAACTTCGACATCAGCAGATACGACGTAAAGCGTATCTGCTCAAGCTCCCACCTCATTGCCGGAGATCTTGCCAAGCGCAACTCTCCCAAGTCCACTGACTCCTCCGAGCCGAAGTCACTCGAGCTGCCTAGCTCAAACTCAGCTGGCACGCCCGAAGACTTGACCAATATGGCGTGGGACCCATCTCGGGCTGAGCCGGGCTCAAACGGAACGGACCAAGCCAGTCATGGGGTTTCTTTGGAGGGCAAGAGTACTGAATGCGGTGAGTATATGGCTCAGGGGTATTTATTTCCGAAGACGCTGGGGCCCATGTTTGCTTTGTGGAATGAATGAGAGGAGTTCGGGTTTACACGAGGATGGATTTTGGCTTAAGATTGAGGGATTGGAGATTTTGGGGTACGGTGCTCTATATCCTTTTGGTTGTTTCTTGCGCCATGTGTATTTAGTTATCTTGGAGAAGATAAAACAATTTTTGCAACATGTTATTGAGATACCAAAATGTGTATTTGATTTCAACTATTTTACAAGGGTGATCGTTATGATGCTATAGAAGGACATTTATTTTAGCTCCTAAAACTAGAGGGTTAATTGGAAAAAAAACAAAAACGAGAGGGCTAATTGAAAGTTTACTGTGTAATATGAGGGTGTAGTTATTGATTCCTCGTCAAATCCTTTTTTTTTAGAAGTAGATTTCTCCTCAAATCTTATAACGCACTATTATTAGAGTCACTTGAAGCTAAAATATTTTGTGTCCGTATTTGACTAAAGAAAAGAGGGTAAATTTCACAAAACCTCTAATGCTTGGGGGGTATTTCCCACTTGACACCCTGAACACTATGTTTTTTGTCACTAAATACCATAAAAAATTTGCACTTAACACCCAAAAAGCGGATGAGAGAAAATTTGCACTTAACACCCAAAAGCAGATGAGAGAAGTCGAAGTTACCAGAGATATCCAAAAAATAATAAAAGTCGAGAGATTTGCGAGAGGCTTTCTAATAAGTTTTGCGGAAGAAAACCTAAAGAGCTTTGGCGGATTCTTAAAGCATTTTGGAGCTTTGGGGCTTAACTGAGAAAAGTTTTTGCTTTTCGTTTATAGAAAAGAAAAAAAAAAACATTTTAGGTGGGCCATTGTAGGAAAACCCCAAAAATGTTGGGGGGTTTTGTGAAATTTACCAAAGGAAGGCTTATAATTAAACGTATGAAAATTTTTTTTGTTACTCGGTCCATTTGTTTGGAAAAAGGAAGATTGGGGAACGCTTGCAAAAGAACTAGTCACACATTTTCTCTTTGTTTTCTTAAACTAGTGCTCTTGCTTAAACCAAATTATAGTCATTGAGCTGTTGAAATAACTTGCACTGGAAGGCGAAATGTGAATAGAAGAAAAACAAATATTTCTAGGAAAATAAGAAATAGTAAAGTCCCCCCCAAAAAAAAACAACCAACCAGGGGCGGTCTGAAGGGTGTACGTTAGCAGGCGATTGTTCTGATGCTAACATGCTCCTCCACCAAGATTTGAATGAGGAACAAGAAGAAGAGTGGAGAGAAGAGAGCTACTGGCAATGAGATTCGTGATTCAATCTTTGCTTATCCTCCTATTTCCAATGGAACAGTATGATTGAACGATGAAGTGGCTTCTTCGAGCTCTGTTGTAGAGATGGAAAGCACATGTCCTAAGGGTGCAAAAAGGAAGATGCTGATGAAGGAGGTTATTGCTAAATCTAAGCCATTGTAAGATCCTCAACCGCCTTCGTTGAGATCTGGTCTCTTGATCCCTTGGCAGCTAGGTAAATCTTCTATCTCTTCTCTTTGGGCAGATGAGGTTGAAGAAGATAGTTTAACAGAGAATGTTATTTTGGAAGATGATGGAAATGTAGATCTGGATCGAAATGATAGATCTATGAGTGAAGAAGCTGTGATGGATAAAATAGACATTCCTGATGATTCCGATCTCTCATCTAAGGGAGACGATGAGAATCTAGAGAAAAATAAATCTGCATCTCAAAAATATTATACTAGCCTGTTTGTTGAAAATAGGAAGTGTGGAAATGGTTTGAATCTAAATTTTATGCCATCATCTCAAGATAATGCTGTTACTTTTTCTATGGAGGAATGGTGTGAAGGAGAATACTATTGGAAATTTTCTCTAATCGGTCATGTAATTGGGCTCAATATTAGATTTAAATCTATGGAAACATATGCCAACAAGGTTTGGGGGAAAATTTTCTATTCCTACAGTTCACTTAATCAAGCAGGGGGTATTCCTATTTGAATTTTAATCTGAAAAATACATGAGAGACATATTAGAAGTAGGTCCTTGGTTCTTTGGGGCTAGGCCTTTGGTTCTTAAGCCGTGGACAATAGATGCTGACATTTAAAAGATGCAGGGCTATTGCTACCCTATGTGGATTCAACTCCCAAATTTAAGACTGAATTTATGGAGTCCTACTGGGATTAGCAAAGTGGCAAGTATCATAGGGAAGTCAATTACCACTGATAAACTCACGGCAACAAGGCAAAGGTTGTCATATGCTAGAGTTCTTCTGGAGATTAAAACTTATTATTAAGGGACCTGATGGTGTGAGCTTCATTCAAAAAGTTATATATGAGCTAAAGCCAAGGTGGTGTGATATTTGCAATGTTATTGGCCACATGATAGATCAGTGTCGAAGGCAAGTTGGTAGGAAAATGTGGGTTCCTGTTGCTAAGGTCCCTGGAAAGGCACAACTTCCCGCTAGTGCACATGCACAACAAAGACCTGTTGAAGAGTTGACTGGAAAAGCTCCTAATGTTATAGGAGGAAGCAACATAGTTCATACTGATAAATAAAATGCGAACACCATCAGATAAGCATGCACAAAAGGATTTTGCTGGAAAAACTCTTGAAGTTGTAGGAGGAAGCAACACAGTTCACACTATACAAGCAGTAAGGAATACTACTCAACTAGTCTCACATGTTGTGAATGCTACTGGGTTTTCTAGTGTTAATAGAGAAAATTATGCAAGAAGAGCAAATTCAAAGTCTACAGCAAATGAGGAAGGGGTATCTTACTTTTAAGCTTCACATTGCCCCCCTTGGTGTTTTAGGATCATGTTTTAGACCCCTCTAACATGGATAGAGGTGGATCTGGATTTTAATGCATTTAGCTATATGGAATGTTAGAGGATTCAACAAGTCCTCTAAACATCATTTTGTAAAGCAATTTATCCATCAATACAGGCTTCCTTTTTTAGCTCTTCTAGAAACAAAAGTTGGTATAAATAAGATGTAGTTGGTTGCAAAAAAGGTGATAAAAAACTGGAACTGGATTTCAAATGCTCATCATGCAAATAAAGCAAAGATTTGGATACTATGGGATAATGATCTCCTCTCAGTGCACTTAATCTCTTCCTCAAATCAATTTATAACTTGTGCAATTGAATCTAAAGATGGCAGGTTAACATGTCTAATTTCAGTTGTATATGCTTTAAATGACATGTCTGGAAGGAAAGCTCTCTGGCAAGACTTGCTAGCATTCAAACAGCAAGTTAATAGTCCATGGATTATTGGAGGGGACTTCAACACAGTTATAAACAATGGTGAGAAGATTGGAGGTACACTTCTATCTGATTATGATTTTGAAGATGTTTAGAATTTCATCTCTGCATGCCAGCTTGTGCATATAAAAACTACAGGATGTTTTTTAATCTGGTGCAACAAACAACAATCTGATACAAGGATATGGAGTAGGCTTAACAGGGTTCTGATAAATGAAGACTGGATTCATCAGTATACATCAAGTCAGGCTGAATACTTAGTGCCTAACTGTTCAGATTATTCTCCTGCATTAATTGCAATAGGAGATGAG